TTACTTACACGAACTACACTATGCTTCAAAAAAAAAAAAGCAGTCACATAATTGCAACGGGCAAACGAAGTTTCAGTGTCATGCAACACAACCTGTCACACTATGCAACACATCAAAGGGGGAAAATTTGTCTAACAGCAATAGATAATCATAACAATCTAAGTTTTAACTGTAGATAATAATGTAACAAAGAGATTTTGAAGGTTGACCTTTAGCTATCCACTTTCTATCCAAATTTCACTGAAGTCAGTACTGAAAAACTTTCCATCTTTAAAAATCATAGAATCATAGGCTGGAAAAGGCCTCTAAGATCATTGAGTCCAACCATCCACCCAACACCACCATGCCTGCTAAGCCATGCCCTGAAGTGCCACATCTACACGTTTTTTGACCACCTCCCTGGGCAGCCTGTTCCAATGCCTGACCACTCTTTCAGCAAAGAAATTTTTCCTAATATCTAATCTAAACCTCCCCTGATGCAACTTGAGGCCATTGCCTCTTGTCCTATCGCTAGTTACCTGGGAGAGGAGGCCAACCCCTGCCTCACTACAACCTCCTTTCAGGTAGTTGTAGAGAGCAAGAAGATGCCCCCTTCAGCCTCCTCTTCTCCAGACTGAACAACCCCAGCTCCCTCAGCCACTCCTCATAGGACTTGTTCTCTAGACCCTTCAACAGCCTCATTGCCCTTCTCTGGACACGCTCCAGCACCTCAATGTCCTTCTTGTAGTGAGGAGCCCAAAACTGAACACAGCACTCCAGGTGAGGCCTCACCAGTGCCCAGTACAGGGGCACGATCACCTCCCTATCCTGCTGGCCACACTATTCCTGATACAAGCCAGGATGCTGACAAAAACTCCTGCCTCACATCCCCAAGCAGCTCACGATACATGGATCTGGACTTCACAAAACCGGTAACAGCAACGCCACCTATCCACTCTGCAGCCACACAGGCAGCTCCACTTCCCTGAAGTTGTACCACGACCAACACAATCCTGCCTTAGGATAGACTGCCCCCAGGAGGCCACGGTGGAATCTCTCCACGGGACGAACACTTTGCACACTCCTGTTACCAAAAAAGAAAGTTTGCGAAAGCTGTTCCTCGCGACAGCTCCTACCTACAGCAGCAATATTTAAAAAAAAACAAACCAAACCACTTCACATTGTATGTGTCCAACTAGAAACTTCTGCTGACGGTGATCAACTGCAATATGTGCCTCAGCAGCAGAAGACCAACACAGTGAGCTCACTACAGCAAGTTCTAAGTTACAAACACGTTTCTTCAGAGCTAAGCAGAAGCAAGGCTCCAATGACACATCTAGGACAAATGAAGAGCAAGAGTAGTCCATCATCTTCCCAAACACTAAAAAAACGCAGAGGAGAGATACAACACAACTAACTTTCTAGGCCTACCACATGCTCCAGCTAAAGGCCAGAACGGGCAAACCACACCACCTACGAAGTTTAAACTGAATCAAATGTAAAGTCAACAGAAGAACAGTTTTAGATTTCCCAACTTGGCAGTGACAAGGCAGGGCACATAAATGAGTAAATACTGCAATACACAATCTTCTTTTAGCGAGCATTTGCTTTCTGCAGCAGGAACCCAGCGGAGTGAACAAAACAAAGCTGTAACGATGGGCGAGTCAGAAAGGGGGTTGCTGTACAAGAGGACTGCATGTTGAATTAAACGACAGCTGGAAAAGTCAGACATTGTTCTATAGCCATGAAAATAACTGGATAAACATACTGAGGAAAGTCAGAGATGCTTTTGCAAAGGAAAGTCATGTCTGACAAACATTTTAGAGTTCTGCTAAAGGCTAAAAAGAGGTGAGAGTAAGGAGATCTAATACAGCATGCTTGAAATTCTAAAAGGCATCTGACACATTCCCTTGCCAAAAACCATTAAACTGCTGTGCTGCCAAGAGAAAAAGTTGTCCTATCAGTAAATTGTTTGAAGATAAAAGAGAAAGGGTATGAATCAGCAGTCAATCTTTCCTAAGGACATGGGCTGCCAACAGACCACCAGAGGCACCTGTGATGGGGCTAGCAAAGTGCAACCTGTGCGCAAGGGTTCTGACACAGCCATTTCCGAAGGCCACAGCATGTTCCAGTAACACCACGTTACTCCGAGTAACACAGGGATACAGGAATTAGACAAAAAATTGCAGAACCATTTCACGGAGGAAATAGATGTTAAAACCTATTAGCAGACTAAATTCACTGCAGATAAATGAGAACAATTCATGCTGGGGAAAATACAAACAAACAGACCTAAATACCTGTATAAGGAAATGGTCTCCCAGTTGACCATTAATTATTCAGGACTGAGTTATTATTCTTATATAGCTTCTGAAAACATAAGTGTAAAGGTTAGGAAAAGGTAAAACAATTGGGCATTATTTTTGGAACCAACATAAAACAAAACACAAAAAAATAGCCTTTTTTTTTTTTTTTTTTTAAGATAACTCCACAGTGAATACGGTGAGCAGTTCTACCTGCTCCTCCCTCCTTGACAAACTGGAAAAGTAAAGCAAAGGACAACAAAGATGACGTGAGGTACAAAAGAGCTTTTCAGCAACAAGCAACTAAAAGAAATGCGGCTCTGTGGTCTGAAACAGCAAGAGCCGAGGCTGGCAGGATACCCCAGAGGCCTACAAACCCCAGAGCGACGCAGAGAGCACGGGAGGGGTGTCACAGTGCAAGAACCCGCAGGCCTCAGCCACAGCTGTCAAAGGGCAGATGACAAGATAATTGCTGGAGGTACAAGAGGCTGCCAAGCAGACACCAGCGCACGCTCGACCCGTCACCTACCCTACGCGTTCGCTGCTTCCACTCTCCGAGATGTCACACCAGCCCAGACAGAACCCGAGGCTGACGAACAGATACTACTTCTTAAAGTAGGTGTACGCAGGAAATGCTGAAATGCATTACTGTTTTTAACCGGTTTTCAGTTCTAATTTACTAGTTTGAAGAAAAGGGAAAAAAAGGTCTTACAAAAATATGACTTTAAGGCTACCAACACTTCAGTCTGGTCCTATAGCAACAGTGTTAATAAAAACATAGCATGTATTGCAACATCTTCTAAAAAATTACTTAGCAGCATGCTGAGATTCTACTGAGAATGTTAGTCCAGGTTTTAGTCACAAATACAAACTAAAAATGCCACTGCTAGTAACTTATTTAACAGTTCCCTTGACCCACAAAGCAACAGATAATGATAATTATGGTCAGAACTCACCAAGAAGAAACTATTTTTAGTTTCCTAAGTTTAGCTTCTGGTCAAGATATGTCACAGAGGCTTTGCCTGTAAAATACTATGAACAGGCACGGGCAGCAGCCAAGTTACTGACATATTACTACTTGACTAGTAAAAATGGGAGTACCAGCTGTCCTTCCTCACCTTCAGTGCCCTCAGAAAAAAACATCTATTCTCTGGCCAATTCCCTCCATTAAAGAGAAACATAATTAGCAATTACATTTTTGGTGCAAAGACACATATGACACATTACTTTTCACAGCAAATAACACTGCCTCTTTACAAAGAGATAACAGTAAGATAAGGCCTCCTGAAAGGACTATCTTCAGTGGTATTTTATATTGCAAAGCGAGCAACACAACCAGCTGTAAAATCCCCTGAGCATACAACCATTCCCTGGATGATTTCTCAATACATACCTGTGAGAAGCTTGAACATGCACTGTTTACTGGCATGAAGACAAAATTTCTCAGCTGCACAAATGAAGATCTCGGACTTTAAAGACTCAAAGTTATCATCAGTGAGATCTCTTCTTTCCGTACTTCGGTTTGTGCCAAGACGGGAAGTAATTTCAAAAGCTGAATCAACATCTGGATCGTGATGCAATGAACACCGGGGCTAAGAAGCGAAGGTCCTAAACCACATTCATAGTTTTCTTCAGAGACAATACAAACATCAATTACCAAAAATTACTTGATCTCAATAGAAAAGCCTGAGGTCAAATTTTTGGTAGTTTTTTCAGCAAGAGAGGAACCCTCAGGATCATTTACAGCTGAATAATTACTCTGCTTCAGAAAACTGCTTTGAATAAAATAAATGGCTATTTTGTTGACTATATGTACGTATTAAAGGGCATCAGCTTAACGGCTGAACTAAGCATTCAAGAAGACACAGAGCAGAACACCTTGAGTTCACACTATGGAAGTGATACGTGTTTTCTAAACCATCTCCTGAGTCACCGAAAAGTCTTTTATGTGGCAAGGTCTTCAACTGCACTGTTCACCAGCGCATGCGCAGCTCAAACTCAGACCATTACAGAATTAGGAACTCCAACGACCAAGCAACAGTCCTTCAATGTATACACACAAGTGCTATGGGACTAAATGAGTGCTGTACATACATTCAAGAATGGAACTGAGCAGGTTTTGTCTTTATAAAAACACACGGCATGTGATTAAACCTCCTAAAGGCAATTCAGATGTGCTGAAGATCTAGAAACTCCTAGCTTTGTAGTGTTAGCTACAAACAAACAAAACCCAAAGGAAGCTCCTTGCCACTCTGTAGGGACTAACTGAGAAGAATAAAAAAATTACACAGCTCGCAGTCTTCGCCCTACATGAGAAACTTGACGCAATCATACTTGCCAACCAATAAACATGCCTCCACACTTTATTAACCTTTGTGCAACATGATCATTTGAATAAAATCTCCACTCTATCCCAGATCGGAAAACGTGACTTCATAAAAATATAGTGCTTTAAAAATGTATCAATATGTTACTTAAGACTATCACCGTACCAAACCCAGGTCTTTTTCAAATTGTTACATACGCAGACTTCATGATACCAAGTGGATGCCTTCAGGTAGCTAAACATCCACGCTGGACTTCACCGCTGCTGAATTTCTCCTCTGACTAAACAATATCAAGTCAATTACACACATCAATCTTTTCCACCCCTCTCCCTTTAATTAGTATGTATTTATATACTGCCATCATGACATAAAAGTACTTTCCAGGCAGTATTTAAGTCTGAAGCTGCAAGCCTCCATCTACAACTAGAGTACTCCCTGTAACATAAGGGGACTCTAGAAGAAAGACAACAGCTTGTGCAACTTCACGAGGCTCTCCAAATCTTCCAAGGAGAATTCCTTTCTTCAGCTGATCTTCTTCCAAATGAGCAGTCATCTCTGTGTGAATAAAGCCTAAGAGAGGAGAGATATTTGAAGAGTTACCCAACCTTCAACAAAATTTCTCTAGATTTTCCCTGGAATCCTCCAAAGGCAGAGATCTACAGAAGTCCATTACAAAAAAAAAAAAAAGTTAACTAAAATTGGGTCCCCAAACCGTATTTAGTACCACTTTTCTGAAAGACAATATACACTCATTTCACCAAAACATTCTCAATACAAACACGAGTATGAAATCTCTGGCAAGGAACCTCCACAGCTTGCAAGTGTTTCCATTATACTTTAGAACTTCTGACAGCACTTGCATGATTTCTATTACAGCACTCATTTGAAGAATATTTCTTGACGTTTTTGAAGGACATTTATTTCATTTATCTGAGATTCAGTTTTCCCACTGCTGCACTTCCTTTCACATAAGCTGCAGCTTTGTAAAGAGCTCACTTTACCTGCTTTCTAGCTGCCAAGAAGGGAATCACAGAATCACAGAATCACAGAATGGTAGGGGTTGGAAGGGACCTCTGTGGGTCACCTAGTCCAACCCCCTGCTGAAGCAGGGTCACCTACAGCAGGCTGCACAGGATCTTG